TACTTTGGGTTTCTTTCGATTTCATTTATGGCTTTTAGTTCTTCCCGTGATTCCTGACTCCTATAAGATTCCTTTAGCTTAAGTTCGATGCTTGCTATTTCTCTGACCAGTGTCTCCCTACGCATTTCAGATATATTGACCTCTTTTAGCCGCTCTGTTATTCTTTTCTGTCGCCTGTAAAGGGAGCGCCTGTCTCTTTCTATTTTACATCTACTCCTCCTTTTTCTTAGAGGAATAAGCCTTGTGCATACATCGAGTTCCACCAAGTTAATCTGTTTCTAGGCATAAGTTGGGGTCTGTGTTGCTTAGTATGATCTTCCTAGCTTATATTGGTTAGGACTTGTTTTACTTGGTCCCACTTATGTTTTTGTTATTGAATTGAATTTGTGAATTAGCCCTCGTGTTAGTCTCATTATGTCGGTCAGGGGCTCCATGCATTACATGTCTGAACCTCAATTATGTTTTGATCGATATATTGTTTTGATATGGTACATTCTATCAGATCATCATGTTAGTGAAGATTGAGGTCGTAGTGTATTCTCCAGCTTAGTAGGCTATTATTTGTTGGTTTTAAATTGAATTTTGTGCAAGAGATTTAAAAGCTCGTGTGAGTGTGAGTTTTCATCGAGCTGCTCCATATTATTGTCTATTCCTCATTTTAGGTGCCTTAAATTTGGGAATACCCCAGATCAAGTGTTGGGTGCAGGACTGGAAGATTTCCAGACAGTGGTCAATTTTTTAACAGTGTTCTGTGGAATTGCTGGGATGTGCATGGAGCTTGTAGACTACCACAATGACTAGTTTTGTTCTCGACTTTACTGCTAAAATCCACTACTCATTGAAGGATTTACTATCAATCTAGTAAATTCTTCTACAGCCAGCCAATTACATTTCACTAATCTAGTACATACTACTATAGCCTCCACATACATTCACTTTATCTAGTACTTACTCTAAACTTCCACCACTGGCTTTACTACAATCTAGTACATTACTGCTACTAGCCAGCCACTACATTTACTATAATCTAGTACATTACTACTACTAGCCAGCCACTACATTCACTATAATCTAGTACATTACTACTACTAGCCAGCCACTACTTTCACTAAATCTAGTACATTACTCTACTAGCCAGCCACTACATTTACTATAATCTAGTACATTACTACTACTAGCCAGCCACTACATTTACTATAATCTAGTACATTACTACTACTAGCCAGCCACTACATTTACTATAATCTAGTACATTACTACTACTAGCCAGCCACTACATTCACTATAATCTAGTACATTACTACTACTAGCCAGCCACTACATTCACTATAATCTAGTACATTACTACTACTAGCCAGCCACTACATTCACTATAATCTAGTACATTACTACTACTAGCCAGCCACTACATTCACTATAATCTAGTACATTACTACTACTAGCCAGCCACTACATTTACTATAATCTAGTACATTACTACTACTAGCCAGCCACTACATTCACTATAATCTAGTACATTACTACTACTAGCCAGCCACTACATTCACTATAATCTAGTACATTACTACTACTAGCCAGCCACTACATTCACTATAATCTAGTACATTACTACTACTAGCCAGCCACTACATTCACTATAATCTACATATATATAATCAGCATATATAACCTGCTGACAGTAGGTATGATTCACTTATTAGTTACATAGGCAAAACTTAGTCAAAATAAAATTTCCACTTAATGCAAATATTAAATCTCTCAAATATTACCAAATCATCTTATCACTAAACCAACTCTTAATAAGTTTGTTTAATATATTTATTATGCATCCTATACCCATCATGTGGGCGGTAGTCAGAAGATTACAGAGGTACATAATGGGTCCAGAGACTGTAGCTGAACATTAGAGGTACATATGTCAGGGCGAGCTGAACATTAGAGGTACATAATGAGTCAGGGATGTACTGACATAAGACATAATGAGTCAGGACTGTAGCTGAACATAGAGGTACATAATGAGTCAGGGGACTGTAGCTGAACATTAGAGGTACATAATGAGTCAGGGGACTGTAGCTGAACATTAGAGGTACATAATGAGTCAGGGGACTGTAGCTGAACATTAGAGGTACATAATGAGTCAGGGGACTGTAGCTGAACATTAGAGGTACATAATGAGTCAGGGGACTGGGCTGCTAAGTTTTGATAGGTGAACTGAGCTTCATTTAATAGTAATATACATAATTATTATTATAATCAAGGGGAAAGCACTAAACCCGGAGGATTATACAGCGCCTGGGGGAGATGTGGAAGGCATTCAGGATTAATTCGGGGAACTGGAGCACAGATTCAATTCCCTAAATCAAGAGCCCCTCACCAACATCAAGGAGCCTTCCTTGAGGGGAAACAAGTTACAGTGGTAATGAACTACAGTGGACCCCCGGTTAACGAACTTTTTTCATTCCAGTAGTATGTTCAGGTGCCAGTACTGACCGAATTTTTTCCCATAAGGAATATTGTGAAGTAGATTAGTCCATTTCAGACCCCCAAACATACACGTACAAAAGCACTTACATAAATACACTTACATAATTGGTCGCATTTGGAGGTGATCGTTAAGCGGGGGTCCACTGTATTTACCTGTTTATGGCTGGTCACAATTGTAATGAGTTATGCAGATATGAATTAGGTCACACACACATGTAAGAGACAAAAATCAGTGGTAGTGCATTTTTTAGAGTGGGCAAAGTCAGACTCTTGAACAATTGGCGTCTTTAAGCTTCTCTGAATGTGCCATCGAGCAGCATCTCCACAGATATTTCTCGATGAATAAATTGAAAGATGATATGAATTTTAACCCATTAGCCTATTTCTCATTTTGATTTTTCTTTAACCTTGTCTCCTGTTAGTTTAGCACATTATAAATGTATTACTTATTGCTGCTAAGTGGTGAGTTTATTTTGCTTCCCATGCTCATTCTTTGGAGCATGGAAGTGCAAAGTAAGATTACAGAGGTCACAATATGTCAGATAAGATAAGATAAGATAAGATTTCGTTCGGATTTTTAACCCCGGAGGGTTAGCCACCCAGGATAACCCAAGAAAGTCAGTGCGTCATCGAGGACTGTCTAACTTATTTCCATTGGGGTCCTCAATCTTGTCCCCCAGGATGCGACCCACACCAGTCGACTAACACCCAGGTACCTATTTGCTGCTAGGTGAACAGGACAACAGGTGTAAGGAAACGTGTCGAAATGTTTCCACCCGCCGGGAATCGAACCCGGGCCCTCCGTGTGTGAAGCGGGAGCTTTAGCCACCAGGCCACCGGGTCATAATCAAACTTCCTTGAGGAAAGCTACTTATACCTTTAAGATGTTACATTTATTTAATTTATTGCAGTTGTTTCATGTAGATAAAGGTGAGTCTCCACTTAACAGTGCTTCACTTTACAGCACTTCACTAATACAATAATTTTCATTTATTCAGACTTCCTGCAATAAATATATTCACCACTCACTATAAGCTCTGGTGTTTCTGGTTACCACGACAGGCAACGTTAGGTGTTCAGCACACCTCCAACTGGAGGTGTGTTGAACACTCCAACACAGCTCCAGCTGGAGGTGTGTTGAACACTCCAACACAGCTCCAGCTGGAGGTGTGTTGAACACTCCAACACAGCTCCAACTGGAGGTATGTTGAACACTCCAACACAGCTCCAGCTGGAGGTGTGTTGAACACTCCAACACAGCTCCAGCTGGAGGTGTGTTGGAGTTGAGAGATTCACCATGCCCTTGTCATAGGGCTGTCGCCGCCACAGGGCTGTAAGCGGTATACCAGTTGATATGAATGCTTACAGTGGTAATGGTCAATACAACTGTGTTACTTACTCCTTCCACCAAGAGCTCCAGAGTCTAGAGTTACGCTCTGTAGAGCGAGAGCAACTTGAGATGAAGTGAGCACATGAGTGCACCTGTGACCACGGACCCCTGCTATAACTCTGCTTGTAGCTTATATGCTGCAACACTGACAGGTCATCTTATGATTATGACTCATGCCAAGCTGTATACATGTACTGGCAAACATTAAACAACATAAACAACAACTATAAGCTAAGGGTGAAAATATTTTATGGTCTGTAATGTGTGAATCCACCATGAAGCCTGGTCACAGACCGGGCCGCAGGGGGCGTTGTCGCCCAGAACTCTCTCCAGGTATACTCCAGGTATATGCATTCATTAGGCCTAGCTCTACTGCTCACAAAATACATTATTATTTTTTTTTATTATCACACTGGCCGATTCCCACCAAGGCAGGGTGGCCCAAAAAAGAAAAACTTTCACCATCATTCACTCCATCACTGTCTTGCCAGAAGGGTGCTTTACACTACAGTTTTTAAACTGCAACATTAACATATATGTTCAAATATGTTATCAGGCTTTTATATATTCATTTGAAAGTGAAAAAAGGCTATGTTTCATTTTACAACAATTTCCACTTTACAACAATAGTCCAGAACCTGATGACTGAAGCTACAGAAAGGGAGCAGATTATTATTATTATAATCAAGGGGGAAGCGCTAAACCCGGAGGATTATACAGCGCCTGGGGGGGATGATGTGGAACGCATTCAGGCTTAATTCGGGGTACTGGAGCACAGACCCAATTCCCTAAATCAAGAGCCTCTCACCAACATCAAGGAACCTTCCTTGAGGGGAGAAAGGGAGCAGAGAGATTTCTTGTTTAGCTAATATTCACATACCAATTATGTTAATATAAGTAACTCAGTTTACTTTGTTACTTTTGTATCTTCTTTTATTGTAACTTTTTTCACACAGTTGAGTTACTTAGCTGTTTTAACTTTTAAGATTTAAATAATAAAGTATTACAAGGACCACAATGGAAATAAGTCACTTTAAACTTTTTTGGGTTATGTGGTGGGTAATTTACACTATGTATGATTGTACTTTTGTGTACCTATGCCTAAATTTACTTACTTATATTTCAGGAACCTGCCACGGGCCATCTGGGTAGCATTACCGCTGGTGACAACAGTGTATGTGTTGGTTAATGTGGCCTACCTTGCAGTCCTTCCACCTTCAGAAGTTCTCTCCTCCAATGCTGTTGCTGTTGTGAGTCTCTTGAAGTACCTTCTCAAAACTTGATATTGTACTCTGTCTTATCCCAGCTAAAAGTTGGGTTCAAATCTATAAATACCTTGTGTTGTTCCAAAGTACAGTGGACCCCCGGTTAACGATATTTTTTAATTCCAGAAGTATGTTCAGGTGCCAGTACTGACCGAATTTGTTCCCATAAGGAATATTGTAAAGTAGATTAGTCCATTTCATACCCCCAAACATACACATACAAACGCACTTACATAAATACACTTACATAATTGGTCGCATTGGGAGGTGATCGTTAAGTGGGGGTCCACTGTACTGTATATTATTAAAATTATGGGAAGCATTAAACCTGTATGAACCATACAACACCAAGGAAATAGGAACAGGATGGGGTATAATTTGAGGAAGGGAAGGTAGTTCTAAACAGCAAATATCTCTAGCCTCTTCTTTAGAGTGCAGGCATTGCACTTCCCATTTCATGGACTCGAGTCTAGGTAACTGATTTCCCTGACCCCCTTCACAAAATGTTACCTTGCTCACACTCTAACAGCACATCAGGTCTCAAAAACCATTTGCCTCCACTCCTATCTAACATACTCACACATGCCTGCTATCGGATGTCAAAGTCCTTTGCACACAGAACCTCCTCTACCCCCTCCCTCCATCCTTTTCTAGGATGACCCCTAACCCACATTCCCTCCACTACAGATTTATGTATAATATATATATATATTCTCTTTTGGTAGTAGGTTGGTAGACAGCAACCGCCCAGGGAGGTACTACCGTCCTGCCAAGTGAGTGTAAAACGAAAGCCTGTAATTGTTTTACAGGATGGTAGGATTGCTGGTGTCCATTTTTCTCTCTCATGAACATGCAAGGTTTCAGGTACGTCTTGCTACTTCTACTTACACTGAGGTCACACTACACATACATGTACAACCATATATATACACACCCCTCTGGGTTTTCTTCTAATTTCTTACTAGTTCTTGTTCTTGTTAATTTCCTCTTACCTCCATGGGGAAGTGGAACAGAATTCTTCCTCTGTAAGCCATGCGTGTTGTAAGAGGCGACTAAAATGCTGGGAGCAAGGGGCTAGTAACCCCTTCTCCTGTATATATTACTAAATGTAAAAGGAGAAACTTTCGTTTTTCCTTTTGGGCCACCCTGCCTCGGTGGGATACGGCTGGTGCGTTGAAAGAAGAAAGATATATATATTCTCCATGGGGAAGTGGAAATGAATTCTTCCTCCATAAGCCATGTGTGTCATAAGAGGCAACTAAAACGCCGGGAGCAAGGGGCTAGTAACTCCTCTTGTATAAATGACTAAATGTAAAAAGAAAGAGTTTTGATATTTTTCTTGGGTCACTCTGCTTTGGTGGGATAAGGTCAGTTTGTTAAACATGTATACGGTATAGTATATGTATATACCATCATAAACAAGAGACGAGACACCAAGAATGTAAACAGACAAATTTATGATTGCAGTTCATATTAGTTCATTCTTGCATACATGTGTGAAGCTTTTACCACAATACAAATCACCTATAACTGGTTACATAGGACCCCAATGGAAATAAAATGACTCTGTCTGACTTTTTTGGGTTATCCTAGGTAATTTACACATATTACTATGTATGATAATTGTACTTATGTGTACCTGTACCAAAATAAACTTACTTAGGTTTTTCATACTTTCCACAGGCTTTTGGACGTGAAGTACTTGGACCACTGAAGTACACTATTCCGGTCTTTGTGGCACTCTCCACTTTTGGGAGCCTCAATGGCATACTGTTTACTTCTGGACGTCTATTTTTGGCGGGGGCTCGCGAAGGCCACCTGCCACAAGTATTGTCTTTCATCCACATCCGCTCTCGCACTCCGGTTCCTGCTCTTCTTGTCACTGTCAGTCTTTCATTTGTCTATACAGGTGCTCCTTGACTTACCATGGGGTTATATTCCAATGAGCCCATCGTAAGTCAAAAATATTGTAAGTTGAATTTGAATATGATATACTAAATAAATAAGTAAATAAATAACTACTGTCACTGTATAAGCAATTAAACAAATAATATATGAAACTAAATACCAGCATTGAAAAGTAAATATAATAAATACAAGTTACAGACTTACCACCTTCATTCTGGGTAATTATGTTAAGTTTCGTCTCCAAAGTAATTGAAATATAGAGTCAAACCATTGTAAGTCAAGGAGTACATATGTTTAAATTAAAAAAAAAAAAAATATGTTGCATAAATAGTTGTATAAATTCTTAAGCATATGTGATATCTTTAACCATTGGCAGTGTAATCTTATACAATATGACCACCATATCCGTGGATTCGGTTTCCTTAGTTTCAGTTAGCTGCGGTTTAGCATGGCCTGAAAATAACTCTTAATTTTGCTTAATAATGGGAGCAAAGCACAAAATAGTGATGGCGACAGTTATTCAAAGCCTAAGAGAAGCCTTGAAGTGCTTCCCATCAGTGAAAAAGTGATAATTCTTCACTTATTATGCATAATTTATCAATTAAACTTTATCATAGGTATGTATGTAAATGAAAAATGACTTATACATAGGGTAAAGTACTATTCACATTTGCAGGTAACCATGGTAGGTCTTGGAATGTATCAGTCGCAGATACGGAAGGACTACCATACTGGAAGAGAGTACCAATGATGCTATAATTAAAATATTTGTTTGAGTTTATTCTTTATAAAATAATGAAAATCTAATGCATAAAAACGATTTGAGAAAACACCTCAGAGTCGCTGTTGTAAACCAGACATGTAGCCATAGGTGTGCTTTTTTCCATCTTGTACCCTGCCTGTGGGGCAGGATTTTTTTGTATACTGTGCACACTCACTTCACAGACCTATTCTCACATGTCTTGGCCAAGATTCACCACTGGCAGCATATTTGAGGGCTCTGCTGTGCTTAAAACGTAGATCTACACAAGTGACACTGGCATAAAGTAATGTGCATCTATGTAAGAGACAATGAAAGGGTTAATATGTTGAATGATTAACTCATTAAATAGGGACACTTTTTACAGTACTAAGCAGACAATCCATTCTAAGCCTATGGCATAAATTTGCTACCATCATGCTGTATGAGAATATATACTTCAGTTTGAATTTGGGATTTTATTATGTTTTATTAAAAGCCATGGCAAGAATATACAACTACGTATTCCATGTATCATGTTTATATTCCTGTGCAGGAAGATAACTGTATTTTATGATAAATATTTATGATATTTCTGTGCTTGCTGTCTCTAGTATGATAAATGTTTATAATATTTCAGTGCTTGCTGTCTCTAGTATGATAAATGTTTGATATTTCAGTGCTTGCTGTCTCTAGTATGATAAATGTTTATGATATTTCAGTGCTTGCTGTCTCTAGTAATGCTGGGTGCAGACATCATCTCTCTCATCAACTGTCTATCATTTGTACTCTGGCTGAGCATTGGGGCAGCAGTTGCAGCACTTCTCTGGCTGCGACGATGCAGACCCACTCTCCATCGTCCTATCCATGTGCACACAGCTTTACCTGTCATCTTCTTGGCTGGCTGCATCTATCTTGTTGTTGTACCAGTAATTACTGAACCCATTAGCACAGGTATAGTGTTATTTGTTTTCATATAAATACTATATTCTATCATTAATAAACTTGTTTTGAACAGGTACAGTGCCTAAGGAATAAGGTGCAGTCATGTTTGATTTGAGGAAGGGGAGGGTAGCTCCTTAGATTAAGAGCCTTTCAATGGCTCTAGTGCTGGCATATACTTCGTCATTGGTGTCTTCCATTAGAGAGAGAGCAGAATGATAATGTCTGACTGACAGCTGTCAATATTTTCATTTTTTTTTTTTTTTTTTCAACAAGTCGGCCGTCTCCCACCGAGGCAGGGTGACCCAAAAAAGAAAGAAAATCCCCAAAAAGAAAATACTTTCATCATCATTCAACACTTTCACCACACTCACACATTATCACTGCTTTTGCAGAGGTGCCCAGAATACAACAGTTTAGAAGCATATACGTATAAAGATACACAACATATCCCTCCAAACTGCCAATATCCCAAACCACTCCTTTAAAGTGCAGGCATTGTACTTCCCATTTCCAGGACTCAAGTCCGACTATATGAAAATAACCGGTTTCCCTGAATCCCTCACTAAATATTACCCTGCTCACACTCCAACAGATCGTCAGGTCCCAAGTACCATTCGTCTCCATTCACTCCTATCTAACACGCTCACGCACGCTTGCTGGAAGTCCAAGCCCCTTACCCACAAAACCTCCTTTACCCCCTCTCTCCAACCCTTTCGAGGACGACCCCTACCCCTCCTTCCTTCCCCTATAGATTTATATGCTTTCCATGTCATTCTACTTTGATCCATTCTCTCTAAATGACCAAACCACCTCAACAACCCCTCTTCTGCCCTCTGACTAACACTTTTATTAACTCCACACCTTCTCCTAATATTTTCATGTTGACATAAATTTCGTACAACATAAAATCATTAAAACTCATTGCTATCAGAAAATTTATTTTGTTAATTTAAAATATTGATAAATGGGGATCAAAAACATTTCCTGTATCTGTTTAAAATTGATATTCATGTATTGGAGCATTTTAAAAATTAGGAATGTAAATGGTTAAATAATAACACAACTTATTATTAATAATATAATAAACTTATGTGGTTCAGTACTGTAAATTTATTAAATTTATTATAAATTACTAGAAATGGTATTCAAATGTGACTTTTCTGTAGAACATCGAGAGTTTATATTTTATATAATCAGCACATACAAGTTTTTAAAACATAAAATCTAGATTAAATATTAGAGCTAATACAAGGTGTCCCATAGCTTGGTTGGTAGTGCACTCAGCTCAAACACTGAGTTTACCTGGAGTTTACCTGGAGAGAGTTCCGGGGGTCAACGCCCCCGCGGCCCGGTCTGAGACCAGGCCTCCTGGTGGATCAGAGCCTGATCAACCAGGCTGTTGCTGCTGGCTGCACGCAAACCAACATACGAGCCACAGCCCGGCTGATCCGGAACTGACTTTAGGTGCTTGTCCAGTGCCAGCTTGAAGACTGCCAGGGGTCTGTTGGTAATCCCCCTTATGTGTGCTGGGAGGCAGTTGAACAGTCTCGGGCCCCTGACACTTATTGTATGGTCTCTTAACGTGCTAGTGACACCCCCTGCTTTTCATTGGGGGGATGGTGCATTGTCTGCCAAGTCTTTTGCTTTCGTAGTGGGTGATTTTCGTGTGCAAGTTCGGTACTAGTCCCTCTAGGATTTTCCAGGTGTATATAATCATGTATCTCTCCCTCCTGCGTTCCAGGGAATACAGGTTTAGGAACCTCAAGCGCTCCCAATAATTGAGGTGTTTTTATCTCCGTTATGCGCGCCGTGAAAGTTTCTCTGTACATTTTCTAGGTCGGCAATTTCACCTGCCTTGAAAGGTGCTGTTAGTGTGCAGCAATATTCCAGCCTAGATAGAACAAGTGACCTGAAGAGTGTCATCATGGGCTTGGCCTCCCTAGTTTTGAAGGTTCTCATTATCATCCTGTCATTTTTCTAGCAGATGCGATTGATACAATGTTATGGTCCTTGAAGGTGAGATCCTCCGACATGATCACTCCCAGGTCTTTGACGTTGGTGTTTCGCTCTATTTTGTGGCCAGAATTTGTTTTGTACTCTGATGAAGATTTAATTTCCTCATGTTTACCATATCTGAGTAATTGAAATTTCTCATCGTTGAACTTCATATTGTTTTCTGCAGCCCACTGAAAGATTTGGTTGATGTCTGCCTGGAGCTTTGCAGTGTCTGCAATGGAAGACACTGTCATGCAGATTCGGGTGTCATCAGCAAAGGAAGACACGGTGCTGTGGCTGACATCCTTGTCTATGTCGGATATAAGGATGAGGAACAAGATGGGAGCGAGTACTGTGCCTTGTGGAACAGAGCTTTTCACCGTAGCTGCCTCGGACTTTACTCTGTTGACGACTACTCTCGTGTTCTGTTAGTGAGGAAATTATAGATCCATCGACCGACTTTTCCTGTTATTTCCTTTAGCACGCATTTTGTGCGCTATTACGCCATGGTCACACTTGTCGAAGGCTTTTGCAAAGTCTGTATATATTACATCTGCATTCTTTTTGTCTTCTAGTGCATTTAGGACCTTGTCGTAGTGGTCCAATAGTTGAGACAGACAGGAGCGACCTGTTCTAAACCCATGTTGCCCTGGGTTGTGTAACTGATGGGTTTCTAGATGCGTGGTGATCTTGCTTCTTAGGACCCTTTTCAAAGATTTTATGATATGGGATGTTAGTGCTATTGGTCTGTAGTTCTTTGCTGTTGCTTTACTGCCCCCTTTGTGGAGTGGGGCTATGTCTGTTGTTTTTAGTAACTGTGGGACGACCCCCGTGTCCATGCTCCCTCTCCATAGGATGGAAAAGGCTCGTGATAGGGCTTCTTGCAGTTCTTGATGAACACAGAGTTCCTGAGTCTGGCCCTGGGGCAGAGTGCATGGGCATGTCATTTATCGCCTGTTCAAAGTCATTTGGCGTCAGGATAACATCGGATAGGCTTGTGTTAATCAAATTTTGTGGCTCTCTCATAAAAAATTCATTTTGATCTTCGACTCTCAGTCTGGTTAGCGGCTTGCTAAAAACTGAGTCATATTGGGACTTGAGTAGCTCACTCATTTCCTTGTTGTCATCTGTGTAGGACCCATCTTGTTTAAGTAGGGGCCCAATACTGGACGTTGTTCTCGATTTTGATTTGGCATAGGAGAAGAAATACTTTGGGTTTCTTTCGATTTCATTTATGGCTTTTAGTTCTTCCCGCGATTCCTGACTCCTAAAGGATTCTTTTAGCTTAAGTTCGATGCTTGCTATTTCTCTGACCAGTGTCTCCCTACGCATTTCAGATATATTGACCTCTTTTAGCCGCTCTGTTATTCTTTTCCGTCGCCTGTAAAGGGAGCGCCTGTCTCTTTCTGTTTTACATCTACTCCTCCTTTTTCTTAGAGGAATAAGCCTTGTGCATACATCGAGTGCTACCGAGTTAATCTGTTCTAGGCATAAGTTGGGGTCTGTTTTGCTTAGTATATATCTTCCCAGCTTATATCGGTTAGGACTTGGTTTACTTGGTCCCACTTTATGTTTTTGTTATTGAAGTTGAATTTGGTGAATGCTCCCTCGTGACTAATCTCATTATGTCGGTCTGGGGCTCCGCGCATACATGACTGAACCTCAATTATGTTGTGATCTGAGTATATTGTTTTTGATATGGTGATATTTCTTATCAGATCATCATTGTTAGTGAAGATGAGGTCTAGTGTATTCTCCAGTCTAGTAGGCTCTATTATTTGCTGGTTTAAATTGAATTTTGTGCAGAGATTTAAAAGCTCGCGTGAGTGTGAGTTTTCATCAGAGCTGCCTCCTGGGTTATTACTGCAACAATATTATTTGCTATATTCCTCCATTTTAGGTGCCTTAAGTTGAAATCCCCCAGGAGCAAGATGTTGGGTGCAGGAGCTGGAAGGTTTTCCAGACAGTGGTCAATTTTTAACAGCTGTTCCTGGAATTGCTGGGATGTTGCATCCGGAGGCTTGTAGACTATCACAATGACTAGGTTTTGGTTCTCGACCTTTACTGCTAAAACTTCCACTACATCATTTGAGGCATTTAGCAGTTCTGTGCAAACAAGTGACTCTGCAATGTGTCCGGGGTTCGATCCTTGGTACGGCATGTTTCCTTACACCTGCTGTCACTGTTCACCTAGCAGTAAGTAGGTACCTGGGTATTAGGCAACTGGTGTGGGTCGCATCCTGGGGGTGATAGTATACCTTAGACAGGGCTGATCTTTGAAATGAGTTAAGGTAGAATAACAGCCCTTTACCTGCAAAATTGATTTATGTAAAAAATAAAGCGCAGTGTGTGCAGGATAGTGACTTATTAAACAAAGTTATGAATGAAAGTAATGTTCAAGATGTATACAAGTTGTTCATCCTAGTGGTAATATTTCTTGCTATAATGTTCAAGATATATACAAGTTGTTCATCCTAGTGGTAATATTTCTTGCTATAATGTTCAAGATATATACAAGTTGTTCATCCTAGTGGTAATATTTCTTGCTATAATGTTCAAGATATATACAAGTTGTTCATCCTAGTGGTAATATTTCTTGCTATAATGTTCAAGATATATACAAGTTTGTTCATCCTAAGTGGTAATATTTCTTGCTATAATGTTCAAGATGTATACAAGTTGTTCATCCTAGTGGTAATATTTCTTGCTATAATGTTCAAGATATATACAAGTTGTTCATCCTAGTGGTAATATTTCTTGCTATAATGTTCAAGATGTATACAAGTTGTTCATCCTAGTGGTAATATTTCTTGCTATAATGTTCAAGATGTATACAAGTTGTTCATCCTAGTGGTAATATTTCTTGCTATAATGTCCTCTCTTGTTTATACAAATAATATTTTAGTAATATTTTATGAAGGGATTCAGGTAAACCAGTTAGTCGGACTTAAGTTCTGGAGGTGGGAAGTACAATGGGGTGTGGGATATTTAGCACCAATTCCCTGGTTCAAGAG